ATAGTACTTCAGAATGATGGATAGTAAAATCTATTTTAAGAAACTTAATACCGCAGCGGTTGATGGTGTGCCAAAATAAAACAATCTGCTAAGTTTTCAAGTGAATGAATGTTTGTAGGAATTTCTAGCCTAGCATCTTAAACTATGAATGAAATATAGTGAAGCTCCTAAAGAGGGCATTTTACTGCAGCTACAGAAACTTTTGGATGGTAACCTGCAGCGATTAATTGCAAGCTTAACTTCAGGTAATGTCACTGAATGTTTCAAGCTTTAATTCAAGGAATATGACTTACTTTATTGCAATACATGTTACCGCTAGTAAGGGGAAAAATTACAATGTAATTACAATTACAAAGGCTTTATAAAAACAAAGACATTTACACAAGTTCAATTATGATTCCTTGGATGGGGAAGTTTAGTTTTGTTTTTGTTTTGTTTTTTGTCTTTTCTGTGTGCAGTATTACTCAGTTGAATTAGTCAAATATTCTAATTTAATATTGTGTAACTGGGAGTAGTTTAACAGTGACAGGGGGAAGGAGAGGATGAGGAGGAGCAGCTGCTGCAGGCGGGCAGCAGAGGGAGAGGCTGGAGATAAGGAGACTGGGACCAATTTGCATATTCATAGTTCCATCCATACTGAGGCCAAGGTGTAGCATTATATCTGAGTCACTCTGGGGCATGAAGGGATTATTTTCATAAAAAATAACATTAAAATATGAAACTTTGGAGACAAAAAGAGAAATGTTCAGGGATTTGATCAATGTCAGGAAAAAAACTTTCAACATCTAGTTGCCATCTATTTTGAAAGTAGGATATTGAGATATGGACTTAAAATAAATCAGGCTCCTACTTTATCTATATACCCTAATTTATTTAGATCTTCAGCCAAAAACATCAGATTTTCTTTCCTTCCTTTCACAAAAACCGTTTCCTTAATGTTACGGTTCTTAAGCTGTGCATGACTGATAGAACTCGCACATCCTTCATGGATGGTCATGCAAAATGTTATTAACTTATTATTTAAAGTTAAATTCTAAGTTAAATAATGATGTAGTCCGTTTGTTCTCAAAAACATTAAACAGGAACATTCTTTTGAAGTCTCAAGTTTCTGACATGGAATGCTTTTCCAACGGGTACAACGGGTAAAATTATTTGTGTGATATTTGCAATAATAAAGAAATGGCTCCAGTAGCCGTTTCTATTTCATACACATCACAATTTGTATTGTTTTTCATTCATTACTGAAATGCATAAGCAGTTGATAAACATATTGTTAAACTGTATAACTAATTCTAGTTTACCTTGCTACTCAGAACAACAATTAGAAAATCCCCCTGCCTTTGCATTTTTCAGCTCCAACTGTGATGTTATTCTGATGTCTAAATCTCAATTTATAAAATATATGGAAAGCAGAAATACTACAAAAGGACAGTCCATTTTACTGATTTCAATTTTCAGAGCTGAGTTCAATTTCTCTGTAGTCCTCACCAATAAATTCCAATTTAGGTTAATTAAAATGTCTCCTCAAAACATGTTTTAATAGCCATAGTTTGGTTTTTAAGTGAATGTTGAAAGGGGCATCAAAAACTATTTGGACTTACCTGGCTTTTGTCTCTCTCCTGTGCGGCTCACAGCAATTTGACTGCTCTGTCAAGGTTCTTATTCTAACTACAGTTTGTGGAGTATTTTATTTTGAAATAGCTTTTATTTTGAAAAATATCAACCTCTATTTCCATTTGACTTCTTTCCAGCAAAGACGCTTTTCACACATCTGAAGTTCAATCATGTCTGTTGAAGTTACTTCAACTGAACCACTAGAACAGTGAAATCAATTCAATTTAAATTTACTTTACTGATTCCAAAGGAAAATAAAATGTTGTAACTCATATTATCCGAGGTTAAAACAGAGAGTTCTGACACCTCATGACACAAGAGAGTGCTGATTGTACTCCGAGCATATGGTGCGGTGAGGTGTTGTAGGTACAGCAACAGTACTCAATCAGAGGTAATAACAACTCATTGAAGATATTTGAATATCATGAGAAACTACAAAATTTAAATTCTCTTTGGGATAAGTAAAGTATTTTTGAACTAAACTAACACTTTACAAAAACATTGTTCAATTTTTTTTTTCCTCTCAGAGTTAAATAATTCATACTTAACATTTTTATTTTCTATTGTGCATAAGAAGCTTCAGTGCAGTGTGTTTTGACTCAAATGGGAATAATGAGGATTTTAGCTGCTGTGTTTCCTAATCATTCGGGGTGGAACAGTAATCCCTTATTGATTAGGCAGCACACCTCTAATAATGGAAAACACAAGACCTTTTAATTTAACAGAAAGAGGAAAAAATACTTCAGACAAAAAAAAACTCTTTAAGCTTTAAATTATTAAAGCTTAAATCTCACCTCTATATATAGATCGTTCCATGTTGTACGCTTATATATATATATATATATATATATATATATATATATATATATATATATATATATGATGCTTTGATAAGACGAACAAGTTATCAAAGAGTACAAACAAATAAAAGATCTTTTTCTTCCCCTTCTTTTTAAATTATGCCACTGAGACTTAAAATGAGTAATTAGAAGCAAAAAACTGAAAATAATTTTTTTACAGGGTCAACATAAAAACTGTAAAGGAAGCAGGCTGTTAATTAGTAAATGATTCTTATTTTAGATTGTGCAACTATCCATAGCCTTCATCACGGTCTACACCGTCTACTACAGGTTGAATATAACTTTACAAAAACGGAGTATGATCTGCATTCACTTTATTTATATTTATAAATAAAGCTGAACATTGTTGTTTAAAAATGTCAAAGCAATAATTGGTGCCATAAATCAGTCAAGCATTAAATTAAATCTCAAAATGCATAATGTGCAATAAAAGGGCACATCTTCACCGAGCTGACTGCCAGAGTTAAGTAACACCACCCCCAAAGAGAGCCCCATTTGTGTCCATGGAGGAGATAAGAACTGTCTGCAACTGCTGCCAGTGCTTTTCTCCCAAACCTCCACTGCAGACCACTTAGTTTCTCTTCAGTGTCCTTTCAGGCAGATTAAATGTGTCTCTGAGGAGGAAAATATCAACCAGCCTAACGAACAAGATAAATTTAAAACCGCCTCCTCATATCATATCTGCCAATAAAAATTTGTGCATCTACACACCACTATTTATGTATCTGTGTGAATGTGTGTGTCTTGTGGTGATGGTGGTGTTGGGAGGGTGTTTCTGTAAGTTTGTTGTTCCCCATTAAGATGAAAACAAAAAGGTATAGCTCCAAGTGTAAGTCTTAATGTAATTCTGTTTAGTTAATAGAAGAGTGCCGCTCATGGTAGCAGCAGGTTGGAGCAGCTGTGTTAGATCAGTTCTGATTTTTCTAGACTTTTGTTCTTTTTTTTTTGTTTCAGCATTGCACATTTGGACAAGCATTCTCTCTGGTTTTAGATGTTGTGCAGCTGTTCTGCTCTTACTTTTGTCTTTACTTTCAGTTTCTATATGTAACCATGGCAACAAGATATTATTTTCACTACTGGGAGCAGCTGATTAGCATCTCAAATAATACCTGAACTATCACCCCAAATCCCAGGGGTCTTCAAGCATCTGGAAATTGTTCCCATGGATGAACCAGACTGGTGCAGGTCATCAGTTTTATAGCTGATATCTGGGCTGACTTCTGTTGAGTTTCCCATCTTATCAAACCAGAAGACAGACCTGGGTGGCGTTAAAATACATCCACAGGTGCCTTCAATTAACTCAAATGCATCAGTTAATATTTTGTTGCTATGGCAGCCCACTGGAGTCCTTTTATTAATTCATATATAGCTGATTTAGGCACTGGTTTAACAAAAAATTCAAGGCTGAAGTACAAGTCAGCGGAGTTAATGACCATTAGACGAAGTTCCGCTGTTAAAATATCACTGAGGCTGAAATCCGCATTTGGCAGTCAGTGGCTCCTGAGGTCAATGGACTGGTGCAGCTGAGTGTGAAGAGCAACAGTCAAGAGGAAACATTGTGACCAAAAGCAGAAAAAGGGGAAGCAGGTGGTGCATTGACCCAGCTAAAGGTAGGAAGTCACAGATTCAGACTCTCTTTCTGGCCAATGTCCGCTCTCTGGATAAAAAAGTGGATTTGTTACATCTGGATGTTTCTACAGAGATGAACAACTGCGCTGTTTTTTGCCCAGCAGAAACATGGCTGAACAACAACATGCTAGACTCAGCCTTCCAGTTGATTGACCTCACAACTGGATGTTGCAAAGTTGCCAACTTTGCAACTTTTTTGCTATACTTAGTTCAAAACTAAACTGGTATAGGCCAAAATCAGTCAATTTTTTTTTAAATATCAGTGCAGAAAACTGCCAACAGTGCATCCTTACTTTTCCACAGTCTTTAGAACAACTGATTGGTAAGGACCATTAATACAAACAAAATATGTTTAACAGCAGTTGAAGAAGTACTTAAACAAGTCTTGAATAAATTTACATATTTGACACAACATTCCTAAGGAGGTGGAGGAGATCTGACAGGTAAACCAGGTCAAAACTTATCACTCAGCGATGACTGGATTTTTGCATGTCAGACACAGGCAACAAGCACTTAGGCTAATTCAATTTGCACATTTGCAACCTACCTGGAATGGGAGAGTATCTCCTGCTACTACCTGCAGGACATCAAGTTGCAAAAAGAAATTCAGCATGTTTAAAAATGCATGCATCCTTGCCTACTTTGCAGGTTTCTGCAAGTGTCTTTCTGTGCATTCTCGGTCTGCTGGCAGGAGCATTTGTTCAAATGACTTGGTGTAAGCGTCGGTGACGCATAGTAGAAGCACGTTTTCATCCAGTTTGTGTCAACTTTGCCGTTGGCACCTTAGAAAGTTTGCGATGAGCGCCAGCAAGCCAAGCAAGCTGGGGTAACTGGAACACTCACGCTCAGTTCAGCCCAGTTTGAGCCGGGCGGTCTTGTTGCCAGGGAGGGGCCTACCTTCATGCACAGTGACCCCACAGTTGTCACACTGGATGATCTCATCTGCATCCTCGCTGTTGTCTCCCAAGCAGACGCAGCATATAAGGATATGCTGGGTGTTCCAGGTCTGCGAGCGGTCAAGTGAAGCATCCTGGGGTATAACAAACATAGTACCAATACTGAGGCTGGGACAAATCCATAACAGGCCTGACAAGCTAGCAACAAGTTGAACAAACACAGAAAAAACCATAAAGACCAGATTCCTCTAGGTGATGGCTAGATTACTTAGAATTGGCCACAAAGCAGAGTATCTGTTTGACTGACAGGACTTAACTCAGAGAACAACAGAGAGACATGTTTATAAAGGAACAGTATTATTTATTTTCCAGGAGCATAGTGCCATATTATAGTACAATCAAATAGCATAGTTACCTGATTGTAACAGTTATTATAAAAATTGCTGTATATATCAAATATAACTTAAAATAAATTTGACTCTGTAATTTGATGGTTTTAACTGCTCTTTCTGACACTTTGCCTTCAGCACCTCATCACAACAATGCTCCATAAAGCCATCTGCAACCATTCTTAGAAGTGCTGGAGTAAGAAGTATCATGAGCTCAGCTGACTAGCAGTTCCACCTGGTGTTTGCTAATTGCTGCTGCCGCTAGTCTGGAAGAGATGAATGGGGAAGGCACAGGGGAGAGCTGTACGTTGTTTGTTTTGGTCTGCAGAACTTATCTTTGAATTTAACACTGAAATAAATTATATTGGAATTCAGTTTAAATAATGTAATTTTCTATTTTTAAAAAAGTACCTGGGTGAGGCAAATCAACTATGTAGCTAACCAAAATAAAGCTAAAACCAAAGTAAACTAAAAACCTTGCCTTTCTACTCTGGATGGCGTCTTGATTTAAAAAAAAAAAAAAAAAAAAAAAAAAAGCATAGTCTAGGATAATGAACTGAGATACTACTCTGGTACATTTAGGCAACAACTTCTCCTTATCGTCACCTTCCTAAAATAATGGCAAAAGTCATTTTTTGCCAAAACGTGATTCTTTTCTCTACAACATCTTTTGGCAAGACAAGTAAAAAAATAAACTCTTTGCTTCATGAAACGTATCATATATCTGACATTTTCAACCAAAAGTGCACTCACCTCATTGCCCTTTCCTTGAGACATACTGTCATTGGTCAGTTCATCATCAAAGGCATTGGTACTCTTCACCTTCTTCTTGGGCTTCTTCATTTCTTTGTCGCTGTCACTGCTACTATTGTTAATGTCGTCACCATGGTCCTTGCCCTCATCATCTTCATCATCGTCCTCATCATCATCATTATCATCATCGTCATCATCATCTTCACTAACACTAGCTCCCTCCTCTTCCTCCGTTCCACCCTTCTGAGTTGACGTTTTGCCTTTCCTCTTCTCTGCCGTGGGCCTCCAGTCATTATCGTCTTCACTGTCATAGTCATCTATCTCATTCAGTTCTTCCATCGTGGTGAAGTCCAGGTGGGGACGATTCCTGCGGAAATTCCATTTCTTGGGCTCAGTCAGAGACTCATCCACAGTGACAACGCCACCACCAGATGTTGAGGTAGATTCAGTTTCTCCAGCTGCAGCGCTCTCTGGCTCTGAAATCTTCTTGCTTTTCCTTCGACCTTTGGATGGAGTGGCAGACGAGACGTCTTTGGTGGAGCTGTCCTCAGACAGCTGTTGCTTAAGTTTCTCCTCATCTTCTGTTAAGTTGTCATCAACAGTCAGGTTTTTGGCCTCCTCATCTATACCGTCATTTCCAGAAACAGCATTTTCGGAGTCACTTTCTGAGCCTGCAGCACTCCCTTTGGACCCTTCTTCATCACTGCCATTGCCTGTGCCATCTGACCCTAATAAAATATAAATTTGATGAATAGGTTATGACACTGTTAATAGTTTCTTTGCCTTTGGAAGCTGGTCTGGAAGCCAAACTGGCAGGTATTTTAAAGCCAGTCACACCTTTCTCACTGTCTGTTAATAACATCTGATAAAATGTAAACCTCAAAGATTTTCCTAATAAACAAATTAACCATTTAAATATGGAACTGTCATTGTTGTGTGGACACGTTTTGTAAATGCATGAATGCAACATTAAAATTTACCACTAGAAGTAGGATTTTACTTCAGGAACATTTTTCAAAGACCCATAGTTGTTTCTGTTACTCCATCTTTCTTTCTCTATCTTTTCTGTAGCTGAAAGATGTTCATATTTCTAAATAACTAATGTTTTGTGACTGCAAAGAGTCTTCACTGCTTTGATTTGATGTTAATGTTCAAAGCTGCATTGTCAGAGATTGACTTCTGCACTTTAGTTTCACACATTAACTCATGTCTACATGTGTACAGGATAGAGATGTGCCGATCAGGTTTTTTCCTGCCGATTCCGATTCCGATCACCCATGAG